ATTTTATTGGATCTCAATCCTGCGCGAAACAATGCGAAGCCGTAACCCCGTTAGAGCTGTTGACGTTGACCCCGTTATTGCCACGTTACCATCGATGAAACGTCGATTTTACGCAGGAGGCGTCGTCAGCCCGCTGCGTCAAAGTGGGCGAATCGCCACCATGAAGGGATAAGAACGTCAGCGAAGATGGAAACGCGAGGGACAATCTTTCGTCCACTCGCTGATAGATATTGCTTCTTCGTTTTATTTGATCTTAATCCTGCGCGAAACAGCGCGAAGCCGTAACCCCGTTAGTCCCAGTCTACAATAGGTGATTTAAGCCCCAAGAAATGGACCAATCGCGGTCAAGTATTCTTCTCATTTTCGACTGTGATTGGCCAGTTTCTAAAATGTGTCCACGATGCTACAGCTTGGTCCAAGTTCTAGTTTCGAGAAATGGCCACACATTTTTCGAACACTAGAACTTGGAACCCCTTTAGGGCTCAGCGCTTAAATCGTCTATTGTAGATTGGGTCTTAGAGCTGTTGGCCGCGCTATTGCGTTTCTATCGTTGAAATGTCGATTTTACGTCGCCAGCCTCCTGCGTCAAAATAGGCGACTCGCGACAATCAAGAGTATCAGTCCCAGTCTACAATAGATGATTTAAGCCCTAACCCTTAAGAAATTGGCCAATCACGGTCAAGTATGAGTAGAATGCGCGACTGCGATTAGTCAATTTCTCAAGGCTCAGGGTTTAAGTCTCTATTGTAGATGGGCACTCATTGGGATGAGGCTGTTAGCGAGGACGGAAACGAGAGACACTCCTTCTTCCACTAGCCGACGAACATAGCTTCTTCATTTCATTAGAAATCTTAATCACGCGCAAAGCGTTGATCGGGGAAAATTAGGATACTCGTATGTGCAGTCTTTGCGTTATCGTGTCGATCGAATTAATTGAGGTACCGTTTCTTCTGATCAGTCTACGTTCCCTCGGTTCTTTTACTAACTTTGCTCAATTTTATTGGAAGTCGCCAGCCGGTCGCGGTATTATTATCGCGGAATTCTGTCATTCGAGCCATGAATATGGAAAACAGAATGCTGACACATTGCTGAATCGCGTATATCGGCCGCTCAATGGAACTACGTAACATGTTAAACATTACGTATTCGAGGCTACTGCATTTTCTCAGTGTCAGTAATTGCGAGAAAAAAACTACGGTAATTGAGTTAGATGAAAGAAACATATATGTGCTTGTACTGTTAATACCTGTAATATTAATATTACATAAAATTATTGTCTTATAGAAATAATTAACTCAATTAACACAAGTAATTAACATCGTCAGCTTCACCGACGATGTAAATAAGTGTGCAGGCAGGAAGTTGCTGTAAAATTCAATTAATTTCGCCAGGTAATACTCTTCTTATCTTACGCCCCGAGCCACCGTTCTTGTCTTATTGTCGATCTTCCTAGAGACGAGGAATCGCCGAAATGGGAAGAGCGACAAACCGACGACCATTGGTGGAAATACCTTCGCCAAAATATCCCCCCCCCCTCCCCCGTTTTACTCCCGTCGCGTGCAGAACCTCGCGTGTACCCTCCCCTCCCCTCTTTCTTTCTCCCTTTCTCTTCCTCTCCGCGAAAAATTCTGTCCGGCAGGCCGAGCCGTTTCGCGGTATCGCGCATCGTCGGCGATGCGAAAGTATGCGCGTCGTTTTACGGTAGGCATATCGATGCCCCTTTCTCCTTCCTGACCCCCCCCCCCCCCCCAGGCGAGAATCTGCATCGAGAAACCGCGAAACCTGGCGCGATGCGCGCAAGCGCGCGGCCTTAAATATTTCATTTACTCGGCGGGATTTACCTGGCGAGAAATATTGCGACGCGTCGGCACGCGCCGTAAATTCTTACCGACTCCTCCGTAACAAGAGCTTTCCTTCTCCTTTCCTTTTTTTTTTCTTCTCCTACTCCCCGCGCCTTCCTCCTTCGGTCGATCCTCCGCGCAGCCTTCCAAGTCGAGGCGTCGCCCCCGATTGTGCATACCAGGCACGACTACTCGACTCATTGTGCGTTACGCAATACAGAGGAAACGAGAAGGGGTGAGAGAGAGAGAGAGAGAGAGAGAGAGAGAGAGAAAAAAAAAATCAGAATCACTATTTATTACACGCTCTGGGACAAGTCCGCGTTCAAACAATATACGAAAAAGGGACCGAACAGTGAGCAAGAAAGCATAAAAACGTCTAGGATGAAAGAAAAAGAAAGGAGAAGAATAAAATAGTAAAAAAGGGTATTTGCGAGTTATGCAGATTATACAGAAGCACACACACCATAGAAATAAAAATAAAAATATGTGCCCCAGGAACATTTTCTCAGTTTGATGCCGACTGAGATAGCAGGTGCGCATATAGTTTTACCCTAAAATCACTAAGCTTATCCACCTCACGAATTCGAGATGGAAGGCTGTTCCATAATTCAGCTGCAGAATAACAGAAAGAGCGCTTACCTAACTAACTAGAGAGTAAGAGAGAGAGAGAGAGAGAGAGAGAGAGAGGGACTGATATGCGTATACGCGACTCGTGCGTGCGCGGGAATGCGGGAATGCGCGAACACGCGGACACGCCGACACGCCGATAAATAAACAAATGCGTAGGTGCCCGGCGGATGCGCGGCGAAAGCGCGACCCGAGGAATGCCGCGGCCATCGCGCTGAGGAAAAATCCGGGACATCCTTGCGCAACGTCGTTGTGCGTGCGCGCGGATTGAATAAAAAAGCAAAAAGGAAACGAGCGGGAGGGAAAAAAAGCACTTTTTTAATCGCGCGTGAATTCGCGCCATGGGCTGGATACGTCGCTCGCGATAAGTGTATCCGCGTTTGCGATACCGGAGCGAGTGGGGTGGCTTCGCACGTGGCGCGGATGCGGCCACGATTTGTCGCAATCGCCGCTCGCAGCCAACCTGAGAGAGAAGACGGCGAGGGAGGAGATTCCTATCGGGAATTAAATTAAATTAAGAGCCGCTGCACGCGTACGAGCGGACGGAACGATCGCGTAAGGGGGAGAGGAAGTCGAATCGTTATTTGTTAGACGCTCTTGGAACTACACGTCCGCTGAAGCATTATTACAAAAAGAATTAAATAAAATGGGCAGTAAACACTATAATCGTGCAGAGGAAAGTCTCCTATTATGAGGTAGGATCCTAAGATGGAACAGCGGGGGGTTTCTGTTGAATTGATAGGCATCATCAGTCGATGTTGCACCATGAATTTATTGCCCTTGGAGCGAAATCTGTTTAGTGGGAGATTCACTGTTAGATTGTGTAATCGTTGCGAGAAAAGATTTGTGAGTGAATTTGGATGTTGGAAACCTGCTGTCGCATGTTAGAAACCTATCTCATAATAGCTCATACGGCACAGAAATATTGCAGCAACATTCCTTTGCGAAATTGCAACATTGCAGGAATGTCGCTGCAACATTGCTGCAGGATTGCGGCAACGGTAAAATGTCCGCTTGCAGAAATATTACAAAGTAATATTACAGCAACGTAGCGATATAAACATAGCAATATGATATATGTATATGCAACAATACTACGGTACAAACAATACACATATTACAAACATAATTGTATCAATATTTTAAAATAATATTGCTACAACATTACATTGCAATATGCAAGATTGCAATGTTGCCGCAATGTTGCTGCGCGTTCTTGTGCCGTATGGGGGGAGGGTTTTCCTCTACGTAAGATGCGGGGACAGCAATGAAGAGAGAAAAGGAAGAAAAGAATGAAGTAAATGGCACACAAACGAGAGAAAGAGAGAGATTGCCACGTGCGCAGCCGTCCGGCACTGATGTGCCGTACATCGCGTGTGCCCGGTCAGGTCAGGTGGACAGATATCGGATACGTAGCGGGACACGGGCGGTTTCCGAAGAATGCGCTTCCTTCCTGCTGACACGCCGTCGACTGCGCCGTATTTGGATGCGGGTGTCCGGAGATGCGCGATCGCCTATACATTTTATAAGTAACGTACCACGCAATGAGTCATGGGCCGCGATTACAATTCCATTCGCGTGCCGCGACGTATCCGCGCGAGTGCCACGACGAGCGGGACGTACACAGGCTGCGGGCGCGGCGAGCGATAGATAAACGAGGCTTTACGAGGAGTTTGGACGGATTCGCGCACGTCCTTTCGTTTTTAAATGCTCCCAATGCACCAAAGGGGAGATCGGATCAGATCGTTATTTGTTAAACGGTCTGGGACAGGTTCCTTAAAGCGTTGAGACGAAGTTACGTCCAGTAAAACACATTGGTTGCAAAATGTAATATATACGCGAGTAGTATTTCATTTCCCGTTGCGTGCGCATGCACGAGGCGGCGCGGACACTAATGAGTTTTTAGGAACGCGTGTCTAAGAAAAGAAGGTGACGCTATCAAGAAGTTGTCTGTTCGCGATTCAGTGATTGGATTTATTAATTCGCATCCTATACTGGAAACGAGCTTGTGTGAGGCGAGCTCGTCTCCAGTATAGGTTTGCCACAATAAGCATATCAACAATGTGGACAGAAAAATATTGTTGATAGAATAGAGATAAAGTTCCCTATTATGAGATAAGCTTCTAATATGAGGTTGCGGAGTTTGTGCTGAATTAATAGGCATCTCTGTCGTCTCCACCGTGAATTTATTGCCCTTGGAGTGAAATCTGTTTGGTGTAAAATTCATTGTTAGATCGTGCAATCGTCGCGAAAAAGATTTGTCATTGAATTTGGATGTTGAAACCTACTATCTCACATTAGAAGTAATAGGCGACTTATAGATAGATAGATAGGTGAGAGAGGGAGAGAGAGAGAAGACAAAAAGACAAAAGAGAGATATTAAAAATTGTTGTGGTTCTCCTTCGGAGGACACTGCTTCGAAGAGATCCTAGTTCTAGGCGTTATATGGAGGAAGATACGCTTTCGCCGATCTTTTCCCCCTAATTGGTCCCGGCTGATCGAATTACGAAACGTTATTATCTATTTCCGCAGGTAAACACTTGGTGCTGGTGACAGATCCCGAGATCGCCGAGGATGCGTACGCCTTCGACAATCCTTGCTTCAAGGACGCCACGCCTGCGGCGGTCGGCGGCCGCGTCACGGAGAGACCGTCATCGGTTGTACCCGGGGACACGCCCGCGAAGGACTCGACGCGATGGTCCACACCCTGGTCGTCCCTGGGACTCGGCGCGGCGGTCCGCAATGATAAACGCCGGACCCTCGACGATTCCTGCGTCGGAGTAAGTGCTCTCCATCTTGTTTCCCTCTTTATTTTGTGGCAAACACCGGAATGCCAATGTGTCTTTTGTCATTCACGATCGGCAGTCTATCTTGATCCTAACAACGGTCCGTTTTCTTTCTTTTTAGGATCAAGTAATTTTGTGATGAAATACTTAACAAGAAAAGCACGAGAATTAGTCTCGGTATTTAAAGGGAATTAAAGAAATAAGTAAAGAAATAAATTTTTATAGTATAGGGCAGGCAGAGATACTGATTAATTTAATAAACCATTGAACTTATTGTTAGATTTTGCTTGTTAACTGAAGCTTGGTATTGCGTAACGAATATCTCGGTAGCTTAATAGCTTTTAAGAAGTATCTCAATATCTTTTACCACGGTTGATCCTTACCGCGTTAAGACAATACAGTTTCACTCTGTACAAATACATAAATACAACAGAACAATGCCTCGGTGTATAGCTTTAATTGAATATTATCAGCCTGAACGACTGAATTATCGCGCCAGGTAGGTAATAAATTCCGCGATCGAACTCTGAAGCGTCACGATAATAGTCCTCGTTTAGTCACGCGATAATAGCGACGTGATAATTGCAGGATGAGGTGGATAAAGGCGGGTATGCAACATTTATAATTCTCCATGATCTAATCAGACTTCGAAATATCCTCCTTGCAGAGAAAATGTTCGATTCAGAACAATTTCCAGGAGTGTATTTGAATATCATCATCGGAATATGCAACGTGATTCGTGCTCATTAAAATATTTGTAAAGACAAAATTGAAATGATTTTACAAAAGTTAGAAGAAGTATGACTTTGTCGTTAGGAATGCGTATCGCCAAGAAAGATAAGTAATCTGGGATAAATGTCCAGCAAACGTCACAGTTTTATTAAAGTAGAATCCGAAAATTCATAATTCTCGGTTGCGATTTATATCTACGTATATAACTTAACTTCGAAACACATCCTTCTTGCAGAGAAAAGTTCGGATTAAGAATAATTTCCAGAATTTTGACGCAAATGGATAGATAGAACAGCATCTTCCGAACATATTTGAATTTTATCATCGCAATATCGTTCGTCATGCTTATTAAAATGTTTATGAAGAAAAATTTGAAAGTAACAATGTAGAGAGATCAAGAATAAAAGGAGCGGAGGTGTACTTTCGTAGGTAAAAGAGCACGTTGCATCAACGAAGGTAATCTGGGAAACAAACGTTTGAACTGTGTCACGTCACGTTTTTATTAAAAAGACAAGTGCCGAAAATTCGGATATCCATTAGTCGCAATTTATATCCCAGCTGGATACCTACGTGACACAACCGGACGTAATAACATCGTCAATGGACATGACTTCTCTTTCATAAGAATATGACGTATCTCTCCTGTAGCCACTTGTCCCTGCGTTATTAGCTTGTCATCGGCAAGGTTCCCGTTCATTGATCGTCTCTCGGTCGATTCGCGCTCGGGAATAGCGGACTCAACGAATCCATCATATCATAAACACACGCATACACACACACACACATACACATACGTACATACACACGGTGATCGGCGTGCAAGACCCACAAGCAGTAATGCGACTCCCGTGGTGATAGTAGTAGAGTTTTCATCGCCCTTGTAACAATCAACCCGACTGTTTTCTTGCTTGCAGTCCAAGGCCACCAGGGTCAGCCTGGTCAGTCTGCGTAGCCGCGACTTCACCGGCCTGGGTTTCAATGTTTGCGGCAACATGAGGGAGGGTATCTTCGTCAAGGACCTGCTGCATCGCGGCCCCGCGTCCGAATCCGGTCGGATACACCCTGGTCAGTATTGTGTCGATCGGCGCGCTTCTTTATCTCGCGATAATTTCACGAGCGTCTCGTTCCAACTTTAATCGGCAACGTGCGTCCAGGATAAATTCGCAAAAGTGTATCCTCCCTCTCGAATCCAAAAGAGTACACATAGTTTTAAAGTATAATACATAGAGGAGAGTCCCGTGTTATGAGATAAACTTCTAATATGAGATAGCAAGATTTTTACTAAATTAATAGGCATCATCTATTGGTTTCATCGTGAATTTATTGCCCTTGGAGTGAAACCTACTTAGTGGAAAATTCATTGTTAGATCGTGTAATCGTTGGGAATAAAGACTTGTGATTAAATTTTGACGTTGAAAACCTGCTATCTCATATTAGAGGACTTTCCTCTATATTTACATTCTTAAAATTCCCTATTTATAGTTTTATATCATTTATATAGTTTTGGAATTTTCTTCGATCTTTTTTCTATTTAATTTTTAATTTTGTTACAAAAATAATATATATGCGTGTGTATACAAAAACAATTATCTCCTCTTTGATTGTCTTGCGATTAGATTTTCACGCTTAATCTCGTTATCGTTGCACACGATGACGATGCAGCGAGAATTTTCTCTTCACTCGCCGTGTCGGGATTGAAAAGTAACACGATTTCTGTTGAGAAAAAGCGATCGCCTCGCCACGATTATAAGCGAACGAATTATAATTCAATACCTTAATTAACGAATGGACATGTCTCTCCCTCTTTCCCTCTCCTTTTCTCGACGAGAGTCGTCTACGGGTGTGAGAATCACCCACATACCTACATTTTGCAGTGAAAGCACTGTTACCACCGTGTTCGAGCATTTGATAATGCGTGTCGTGAGACAATTAAAATGAAGTATCAAGCTCTCATTAAAGTGCACTTGCTGGCGTAAGTGGAGTATCGCCGTACTATGATGCCGAATGGCCCAGTTCGGCAAAGCTAACGGCTCAACGAATTTTCAATCTTGAGTTAAAAGCGCAATTTACAACGGAAAACCGTCTTTATTCGACAATTACTTGGAGGCCGAGCTAATTTCCCGTTCGTGTACGCTATCGCGGCTGGAATTCCTGATATTTCGATTACTTCCAGTAATTTAACGCACTCTCAGTCGTTACTCCTCCATGATCAGGAATGCGTGTGATATTTGAAATTGCAATTTCACAATGTGCGATCAAGTAGTCGTGAAGAGAACTTTCCTTTTTCATTACAAGATAAAAAGCAAAATAATTTTTCCCAATCATAGTCGTGTTACCAAGAGCGACTCGTCATTCCTCTTTTTTTTTAAATCGTTGCAGGCGACCGTATCTCCAGCGTGAAAATCAGCTTCCGCAACATGGTTTACGAGGACGCGTTGACGATCCTGAGCTACGCCTCGCCGTACGACGTAGAGCTGGAGGTGGAGAGCGGCGGTAGCGGCTCTAAGCCGGCGACGTTGCTGAAGAAGAGCGTGGGTCCGAGTCCGACGAGGATCTGCCATCCTCTCTACAGAAGCCAGTCAATTCCGGAGCTGTCGCGGGGTCACAGAAGCGCCGCGAAACGGCTCTTCATAGCCGATCCGAACGAGTCCGTGGGCTCTAATTACTCGACGATGAACTCGACTCTGAAGTCCTCGAAGTCGACGCCGGGCAGCGGACAGAGCCTCGAGAGGCGTCACGACGAAGCGAAGAACAATCACCATCACAAGTTCGGTATCAAGGTGCTGCCGGCGCTGGACGGCACCGTGCACCGCATCGAGAATCAGAATGAGCACAACACGAACCTGGAGAGAAGGCACTCGCGCAAGATGGACGCGGAGAAACTGCTGGCGAACAGGCAATCCGCGGCTGCGAGCGACGCCGACGAGAAGAAGCTCTGCAACGAGCGTCTTCAGCAACGCGCGGACCACAGCGTCGTTCCGACAAGGATCACCGTTGACGGCGTCGACATGTCGGACAAAAGCGGCAAGAATGCCGACGGGGAGCTCAACATACCGTCGGAGGTGCCGACGGAGGTGCACAACGCGGCTATGGCGGCTCGCAGAAATCGCAAGAGCAGCTCTGAACCCCTGAACATGCAGAAGATCAGCTCGTCCGATTCCGACGGCGCAAAGAGTCCTCAGAAGAACAAACGGAAAGCACCGGCGCCGCCGAAGGGTACCAACGAGATGCCATTTGCAAAGAAAGACGCCATAGAGACCATCGATAGTATCGCCGATTATACGGAGTCGTTGTGTGATTATGTGAATAAGACGCGTGAGAACACGGACGCCGCCGCGGACGCCCGAAGACATCGTCTGGAGAATCAACCAATGATGAACAGACGGAACTCCGAGTCGGACACCGACAACGAAATGCAGAACAGCTTTACAATCGAATTGAATTCGGCAGACATCACCATTCACCGTACGCCCGTACCGGAGGCGGACGACAACGAGGATGAGGACGACATATACAGGAAAGCAGCCAGCCTGGGCGACCTGTCCAAGTACGAGAGCAAGACCGCGGCGACTCTGGAGAGAGCGCAGAGCCTCGACATGAGCGCCGATACCGGGGCGAAGAAGCGTAAGGCGCCGCTGCCACCCGAGGACATCAACGAGTCCACGGAGGATCTTACGAAGCTCGATCAGATCGACACGTTTGATCAACGAAAGCTGAAGAAGTCGAACGAATGGGGTACTCTAGAGGACGTGATCTGGAGCGAAGCTGCCACCAGCGAAGTGTACGAGGAGACGCGTGGGAAAGCTCGTACGAGGAAGAAGAGCAACGGCACTTTGGAGCGTTCCAAGTCCGCTGTGGAGATCAAACTGAAGGAAGATGTCACAACGGCGACGACGGTAGTAGTGGCGACGGAGGACGACGTGTCCGAGCAGAAGAAGCCCAGCGATGATTCGGATCAGGAGATCACCAGCATCGAGTTATACAACCTGCCGTTGAGCAAGCGACTGACCGAGGAGTTTATTCGCAACGAACGGATGTTCAATCCGGATGAGGACAATTCTCTGGCCAGAATCGTGAATGACGGCCAGGTGGTGAAGAGCCCGACCCCGAAGGAGGTGGAATTAGACTTCCAGTTGACTGACGAGAGACGATCCTCCAAGGAGAGCAAGCGCGAGGGGGAGACGGAAAACGAACCGGACAGTGGTTCCATGTCGGAGAAGTCGGAGGACTTCAGTCGCGCCTTGCGCTACTTCGAACTCCACGCGAGCGGCTCACCGACATCTCCGGAGCCGACGACGAAGGTCAATCTGACACGGCTGGACGAGTGGAAGGAAGATAGAGCGCCCGTTAACGAAGCGTCGCTTTACGCCGGCAGGCAAGCGGTTGTAGAAGAACCTGTCTTAAAGGTGACCGTCGATAGGGGTTGTCACGGTTGCGAGGATAGGTGCGGCCAGCATAGTGCCGACTGCAAACGTGAGAAGCACGCCGACAGCCAGCATCGTGTGACCGTGCGATCGTTTTCGGAGGATAACAGGACGGGTACGAGAGAGAGCGCGGAAAAGGAAACGGAACGGACGACACCAACGCATCTGCGAGTACACGCGTCCAAATCGGAATCATCGGCCGGGCGCGACAAACTCCAGGACAGGGAGGAGAACGCGGAGTGTAAGAACGGCGGTACCTTCTCCACGTTCCACGCGCATCGGACGAAGTTCGAACAGCGGGGCGGGGATAGTCAGCAGCGTAATAGGTACTCACCGATCAAGACGAAATCGCCGATCGACTCTACGTTCGCCGAAACGCACCTCGCCAGACGCATTATTAGCGTTTCCAGTCGCGACGAAGACGAGGAGGAAGAAGACGAGTACGAGTTTGGTTCAAACGTAACGGCGAACAGCAAGAGCCCGTCTTCACCTAAGGAGGACCGTCATAACATCAGCAGCATCAGTGTGTCGAGCGGCGAGAACAGCGAGGATAGTGGTCTGGTCCGGGAATCGATGGACTACAACAATCCGCAAGACACGGAGAGCCGTCCACCTTTGCCTAACACGCCTGTGCCGCCAAACGCTGTCCAAAAGATGACCTACATTACAGAGATCAAGGTGTCGCCCAACAAGGAAGGTGTTCGCGAGACCGACAGCGAGAACGAAGAAGTAACGACGGGGACTAATGGCGAATTGCGAAAGCTGGTGCAGCACGAGATCAAGGTGACGTCCAACGGGAAACCTACGTCCGGCAAGAAACCGCCGGTACCGCCGAGACGATCGGACATCGCGAAGAGCCCGAAGGAGGATCGGACGGACAAACAGGTCGTCTACGTTTCCGAGTACAAGTCCACGACGGGCAAGAGAGCCCAGATCTTGGACGTGCACCCGGGACCAGAGGTCAAGCAATCCGAGAATAAGAAGTTTGAGCACTGGATCTTCAAGGCTGACAAAGAGCAGAATCGCTGGAGCCCCGCTTCCGGTCAACCACAACCCGTGACGAACATCGTGCTCTCATCCAGGGATGATACGAATTAGAACGTTCGCGATCCTTGACTTTAAGAACGCGAACGTAATCTGTAATTGTACGTCACTCAACTTAGGAGACATTTTATTAAAAAAATATCGGAATGAGATTTCTTTGTATACGTTTCTTTACGAAGACGAACAGCGTATAATCGAAAAGCATTTGTATTAATGTTAACAAATGCTCTACGAGTTTCCAAGAGCTTGGGGATAACGTCCTTTCTAAGATAACCGATTTAAGCGAAGATTTCGAGTAAAAACAAGGCTAAGTGTCGCAACAATAATTTTAAACTAGATATTTTCACACATAATGTATGTTTTTCTTGTATTAATTTCTAGCGCTGTTTTGTTTCCGACACTTGGCTCTTTTTTCATTTCCAATCTTCAATTCAGTTTAACCTCAATAAATATGATCGCAGATGAAAAGCGAGAACGTACGTAAGTCTGGAAAGAGAGAATATGATTAACTTTATGTCACGTATGTGTTGATGCATTTCTTGAAGTATACGACATATGTATATTATAAAATATAAATGTACATACATTATACATCCAGGAAAATTCCTTCTTGATGGTTTTACCGAGAAATTTTAGCCATCAGACGAAGATAATTCTTCGTCTGAATATGTCTTCTGTGAATATGTAAGATACTCAAAATTATTTATCAAATCAATTCTTTCAAAAGAAGAGGGAAACTTGATACTGTCTCCCTAATTCTTACTGAACTGCATTCTAACTCTTAATTTTTTATATTTAATTTATTTAGCATCTTGGAACCAAAAGAATCAATGCTTTGATATATGATATCAATATAAATGCTGCACTGCTGAAATTTAAATGACGCAATGAGATTGCTCTAGATATATTTATCAGTATCATATTTATATTATACATTTTAGGTGACTTGAAAACTCATGCACTTTGCCGTGGACCCTTTTGGAATTAATTCTAACAAAAATAGCCCGAAGGATTAATTGAAAAGACGTTTATTATGCCGATAATAAGTACGTATCGTACAGTTAGTAAAGTGCTGAGAAACTACGTGCCATAAAGAGTAATTATGATTAGAGGAGATTGCTTGAGGTAGAATTGAACTGTAAAGGCACAAGATTTACGGATTTACCGTGTGCGTTATCTGTCCGATTATCATACAAATGAATGAATAATAGATGTAAATGCGATAATTGTGCATATACTTTTTCCCTAACAATTGTATAAATGTAGGCCAGTGTTTTAAATGCGACGGCTAGCAAACTTCTAACGCATTTTATGAAAGGTCGTGCATTTTTCCATAAACTTTCATTTTCCCCGTTTCTAATCAAAATAATTTTTAATAGAATATCGTTAGAACTTGCTAACAGAATATATACATAATGAAAAAATACGTAACCCTAATTTATCGAAAAACTGGCAATAATTATATATATATATATATTTTTTTTTTTACTTATGATAGCTTTCTCCTTTTTCACTTTTCAGTTATTCGTACTCTTGTCGCACATTTAACGCTAAATGTGATTATTACATTCTTCCGGATTGAATATTATTTTTACATTATATATGTCTATATGAAATGACTTAAAATACGATAATTACATTTAATGCCAAATATATAGCGAAACTGCAATATTTTTTCTTCATCTGTAACTTCCATTCTCAAATATTTCACGATTATTCTAGAAAGATAAAAAAATTACAAATTATTATCTTATCGTTCGCAATCCGAATATTTTACTTCACTTAATTAGAGGTATCTTATATAGTCGTCCTATACGTTCATTATGAGATACATATAATTTCGTCGATAGGATGTTCGTAATCAAATAATAGACCGTGTAATAATAGATCGCGTAGTATGTAAGCGAAATAATATGTAAATCTGTTACTTTATATATAATAACTTTTGTTTATTAATGTACTAACATTTGCGTAGCTCATAATTTGACATCTAATTGTTCACGCGTATTAGTATGAGTATTGTCAGTATGAGATACAAAGTAAGTGTAATTAATAAAATCTTACGCATAATGGCACTCGCTTCAAATACATTGATGCTCAAGCAAAATATTGGGCATGTTGAAAATCTTAATTTCAATGATGTATGTAAAGCAAAGTGCGTTACCTGTTGCATGATCAGAAAGTTTCTTTCGTGGCATCGCATCGTGTCTTTTTATTGTTATCCGATGTCCTGCGAGAAGGCAACAGGAATTTCGAAGTATATTGGATTTGCTGTAACGCACGGTTGACATCAAGACACAAATGTTTCACCGTGTGCGAATGTACTGCTCGTATTATTAAAGACAAGCGAAATGTTATTGTTAGCTGATGCAAGAGTCAGTCATCGAGTCTTTCCGTGTACGTTAAATGTAATATAATTTATTTCAAGACTAACAACTGTTGTAGTAACATACGCTATTGTCTATAAATTTGTTAGTCACGAATGTATAAAGTTTTAATGAATAAAAGTATATATTTTTAGACATACTGATTTTGCAAAAATATATTTTCTTATGTGATAGATTCTCGTAAAGAGACAAAGATTGTTTTTTTGTTCGTTACATTGTGCTTTGAAAACAATCCGCATTACATTAAAAATATATAGATCCCAAAATCTAATGAAACTAAATAGTCAGTTCTATTCTAAGAGAACGGGGGGGGGGGGGGTACATTGTATAAAATGGGCCTGGAAAAATTAACAGAACAGTTTAGCGGTTGTAATCAATATTATTAATATCACAGTTACATAAATATTACTTTGTTGTTTTATACATATATGTTTGTGTTAATCATTTTTATTAATCTGTACAGGTCTTACGAGAGAAATTATCATAAAAAGACATGATATGCATATATGTAAACATTTTATATGAAATATATACGCATCAGTTTCTTATATGCACTCTAGCCTTAATTTTCTTCTTTTAGTTATTCCTCATAAACAATTATATGTCAAACTAAATACATTTATGTGAAAAGTATTTCCTTTTACATTTAATCTTATTAGAAAAGAATTTCTTATTAATCTTATTATAAACTGTATTGTGCGTCATTTGATATCACTTGCTATGTGCTTGATTTTTGTGGTAAATTATATGTATAATACATTACACACGCATAAGAGATTAATGATTAACAAAAAATACATGACAGCTATACTCTATACAATATATCTTCTGTGATAATTTCAAGATTTTATTTTATATGTAAATAAATTATTTATCCATAATCTCTATGTGAACGTTTGGTAAATTTATACTAAATGTTCACACGACTTATCAGTTTCAAATGTATACATATAATTATTAGAATTATTACGTCGCCGACTGCTTATAATTCTTTGTACTCATTAGTTTTTTACCACACATAGCGCATATAGCTTTCTTGTAAGCGCAAGACTGACAATAATGGGATCCCACTTGGTGAACTTTCTGCCTGCATATTCTGCAAATCTCGAATTTTGTGGTATACGGATTGAATCGTGCCTTTCCCGCAGAAAGAGCTTTGTTCTCGCCGACCTTACGACCTCCGCCCTCCGTTGTATTCCTCGCACCCGTCTTCCAGGGATCTGGAGTGATGACTTTGCCCAATTTCTTTTCACACTTCTCGCAAACCATATTGAGATGATTTTTTATTCTGCAAAAAAAGCACTACTAAGTATCTGCCTAAAAAGAATTGAACATTGTAGAAACATTGTAAATCTGTTTATCAAAATGAAAAATATTTCATAAACCAAGTAGCCGAAAATAATTATATATATCGAATCACAAATATGACAACATAAAGATGAAATTTTTTCACATAATATTGAAGACGCTATCTTATATTTTTGTACCTTAAACCTATAGGTTATAATGCTTCCTCAAATTAGTTGTTACTTGTCCAAACCCTGGGCACAAAATATCAGTGTATCTTCTCGTTACGATAAAAACGCCAAAGAGTAAATATCTGCCTGAAAATATATGCATAAATTGAACATCAAGAAGTGGAAATATAAAAGTGTATGAATATCATATGTATTATTAGCGTACCTGATTTTGTAGGTTATAGTATAACCTCCACAAGTTGGTTTTTACTTCTTCCACGTATTCGCACGTGCAGTGGCAATCTTTTTATCGCAATATTGATTTCTGTGGTATTGAAACACTTTAAATCGCGTAACTGAAACGACTTACCAAAGAAATTCGACTGCGTAACTAACGAGACCAAAGGATTAGAGAAAACGAGGAAACAACCTTTATTCCGACCGTTTCCGACAGTCTCCGAACGTTCCCGAGTTTGTCCGAGCCCGACCATTCATAACTTTTTCTTCCATCTTGAATAGAGCAGAGGGGGGGGGGGAGGGAGTTGGTTTCACAAAAGTTCTGCGCACACAGCATAAATTCTTATTCCTAATATTAAAAATCGATCATGGACGCTAAACACATAGTAAAATAAGATACAAAAGAAAATACGTATATATGAGAAGGTATATCAAAACCACGGTCTTACA